GAATTTACTCGAAAACAGTCGTAAGTATATATAATATATAATTGAAACAAATTCAGAAAATTCATAGAGTACGTGAGCCTTGAATGAATATAAAGTACCAGAATCTTTAATGTGGCATGGTAATTGGTTGAAATCATTCAATCCTCTAAAAAACAACGATTTTAAAGATTGCTTTGTTCTTGTCCTGAAAATGTGGAATTGATTGGTGGTTCTTGTATTGTAGACTTGAATTTTATTATTGTACCTAATGAAGTAATCAGAATATTCTGGTGAATTTCTGGTTATTTTATAAATAAATATCATACTTGAGTAATACCAGCCTATACTGCTACATCATACCACTCAGCTTGTATTGAATGGGAGTGTATCTATTACATTTCAAGATTCTTAAACCTCGATTTTGCAGTTTCTGTAACTTCTGTATATTGTTTTATCTTAAAGATAAAGCAGAGTGGAACAAAAATCAAAATGGAGCTGTATAATGGTTCTGTATATTGTTATTTTTGAAAACATGAAAACTTCCGATGAAATCCTGAAGAAAAAAAAATGTTTTTTTTTATATCATCTTACAAATGTAGTCACAGTTTGCATTGAGTGTTAGTGATTCATCCAACACCTAAATACTTGAATTCTGGCACCCATTCAATTTTGTCTCCCTCCACTTCGAGTTGAAGCTTTTCATAGTCAATTAATTAATATTTTCGTTTAAATATATTTCAATTTTAGACATACTCACAGAAAAAATATCCAAGCAATCAGACGAAATGTTACTGAAACAAAAAATTCAAGTATTCCAGTTCCGTCCGCCATGTTTTTGAAATTTTGTACATTATTGACACTTTAAGAATTCACTGCATGAGGATGTAAGTCCTGAATAAGAAAGGGTGTGAAACACTTTAAAAATTTTGATACATATTTCCAAAAATGAGGTTAGCTTTCAATCAAGTTGACAACAACTCTCTTGACTTTCATTGAAAAAATCAAATTGAATAATGTACTTCAAGTTATACCGGGAGAATTTAAAAAAAAGTCACTTTTGAGTTGATAATTAATTTTCTAGTTCTCCCTTTTGGATCAAATTTTGTGTAAAAAATGGAATTAAGTGCTCAAAAACACTTGAAATGTTCACGGTGGCATACGGTGATTTTACTCTGAGTCAGAAAAATAATCACAATTGGTATAAGCTTTTCACAGGAGGTCGAGAAGAATGACGACAATCACCTTGGACGCCTCAGCACATCGACAGCCGAAGAAAATGTTGAAAAAGTGAAGAAAATTGTCACTATTATCACGTATGTAGTTTGAAATCTGCAAGGGGAAAGAAATACCGTAACCATGGTTTTTTTTGGTGGGCTGATGCCTTTGGAAAGTGCCTGGATGACTCATTGGTGTCCAACTACTGTCCTGAACGTCTCTTGTTGTAGAGGATCCTCTTTTCATCACAGGTGACGATCAGATCCATAAAATATTGATTTGGTTGCCCAAAAGCAAAAAAAAATGGACAATTTCTGTTGATCGTTCAAATCGTAGGACACCCCTTTTTGGACTTTTTTAATATGTTTTAAACCATCAAAAACCGCGTAGGAGAACAATCTTAATTTCATTAATTCAATTCCACAATAGACACCAATTTCTTGGATATAACTCTTCATTCATGAACAGGCGTAATTAAATACTTCTTTGTTGGTGACTTTTCAAAATGATAATCATTTAATAGAGCTTCCTTGCGGCACGATTCAAGGTGATTGTATACATAACACCCAAAATTTACTAAATCATTTATTTCATTCAAATACTTCATTATCATTTCTCTTTTATATAAGTCAGCTCGACTGATTCATAATTGACCAGCACTTCGAAACACTGTACATAGATAATCAATGCATTTATTTATACTCTCATGTCTCAATAACTTATAAAAAAATCAGTCGCCCAAGTATCTGCAACACATGCCAATAGTCAACAAAACAGTACACACTTTTCGCTAATACACATTTTTTCAAAGAAATAAATGCAAAGTGTACCTAAATAACAATATGTCACAGAACATACACCAGCACATAACCTCACGTATTCAGAGCTATTATTAAATCACTATGAAGTCATCATATCACTAGGAGACGAATTATTTACATTGGGCCCTTTCAGAGAATCGTTTATGTCCCTCCTGAACATTGACAAGTTTTGAGTGAACCTGCAAACGAAAATAAATGAGTATATCAATATTTATTCACCACTGAAGATAAGTAGCATATACAAGGTGAGTCACAAACTGAATCAGAAATGAGTAAGGGAGCTGTAAAAATATCAGTAAATTTAAAAATATTGATGTTTACACAGTACGTCACTTGAAATTAAATCAAAATACGAGAAAATGCATAATATACAAATGAAGGATTTTTATTCCTTTAATTCTTTGGTAAATGGACTCTTACGGGTTTAGAACTTGTCGAATTATTAAAACAATAACATTACATATTTATTGAGAGATATAACAGAAAAAAATACAATAGAATATAATATCTAAAAAAAATAATAAAAATTGAAGCAAACAAATACAGTTTTTGAAATTCGCGATTCAGGAGTCATATTTGATCATAATTAAATTTTACACACTCCGTACTTAGCAAATATTTTCAATTATTGGGTTTTATTTCTAAAAATACTAAAAACCTATCTGTTATGGCTTTCAGAACATTATATCTATCATTGGTATATTCGGTTATTCAATACGCCTCACCAGTGTGATCACCATATTATCGAACTCACATCAATTGAATAGAAAGAGTGCATAGAACATTTCTGAGGTGTATAGCATTTAAAATGAATCTGCGATATGGTGAATACGATTATATACAAGTTATGCAAAATTTGAATAGTAGTAGAACAAGATCTGACTTGAGTACTCTCTATAAGATACTATCGGGAGTGCTAGATTGTCCTTCACTGTTCCAATCAATTTATTTTAAAGTTCCAAACAGACCTATTCAAAAGTCTGAATTATTCAAAGTTCCCTACCATTGCACAAATTATGGTTATCACAGTACTTTGTCACGTTTTGTTAGATTTGGTAATGAATATTGTAAGAGAGGTTTAGAATATACTGGACAAATATCAAATTCATTCAAAACCAGTTTAAATAGTGGATACTAGTACAAAAAAGGGAAAGAATATGTGAATGGAATCAGCTTTTTTTTAGACTTCATGAGATTTGATTTGAATGAATGATGTATCTTACTTAGAATTTGAAGGTAGTTCATAACATTTTCGTGACACAAGGAAAGTTGTAATGTAGAACCATTAATGAAATTGGACTCGCACATTCAAAGTGTGGCGGAATCATTGTTCAAGGCCTTTGAATGAAATTGAAAAAGATGACTAGTCGCAAACTCATGACAAAAAAACAATTTTTTGGTGAATTTTCAACACTAATGTATCGTCAACCACAACCATCATTTCTTCAACTATTTCTAGTCTAGTACTAGTCAGTCTTGGTAAATCACCTCGATTTTTCCTCTGCTGATTCTTTGTTTTCCAAGAACTCTATTACACAGTCAAATAGATTGTAAAATCGAGTCAGACAGTTACCTCTTGATAACCAACGCACTTCTGTGTGAAATAGCAATTGGTTGAAATCTTCATCATTAGCAACACAAAGCTGATTAAATAATATGTCATTTAAAGACCTGTTTCGGATTTTATTGACTGCTTTGATGATATATTGCAGTGATTGAGGGAGGCGCTCACTCAAATTTTTCGCAACCAAATGTTGCCTATGAATGACGCAATGTACAGCGAGCACATCTGAAATGTTATTTTTTAAGTTCGCTATGAAGCCTTTGTGACGTCCTGTCATAGCCGGAGCGCCGTCCGTAGCAGCTGATATAATATTCTTCAGTGGAATTTCTTTCTCATCACAAAATGTTTCAGTGTATTATAAATGGTTTCTCCTTTTGTATCCGTATCTGAATTTGTGGCAAATAATTTGATATATTTTCTCATTTTTAATAAACCTCACGTATGACAACAACAATGCTTCATTGGTTGGTAAAGTTGACTCATCTAACTGAATTGAGAATTTAGAAGTCTTCAAATGATTGCACAATGACTCTTCAATGTTTTCAGCCATCTCATCAATTCATATTTGCACGGAACTATTGCTCAAAGGAATTTTTCGGATATCTGCCGGTTTATGGAACACAGTAGTTATTACTTCTTTTATTGCCGGTAAAATTAAATCCTCTCCAATGGTGTGTGGTTTACCTGTTTGAGCAATTAGCAAGGAGATATTGTTTCATCGCTTCATTCGAAAATGTTTTTTGACAAAAAAAGCACAAAGGCAAAAATTGATTTGTGGGATTTTCAATAAATCCATATTTATATATTCCGCGCTATACTGCCGTTTCTTCTTTTTTGCTTCCGACATAATTTTGTCTTCAAAAATGCCGAAGTGAAAAATCGAGTATTAAAAACTTGCTAATAACACCACTCACAGTATTCACCACCGCAGGTACAGCACTTTACCTAGCTAGTCGCTAACTAAATTCACTTGTTACCGTAATATCGTCGAATGACATTACTGACTGAATGGCGCGCGCGCTTTTATATGAAGCAGCGGGCGGGCCTAGTACTTTCGAGAATGGAGACTAGAAACTTCTCGCTTCGCATTGAAGCTTACCGCCATCTATTGTACAGTTTGACAACTATCATACAGGAAATAGTTACTATCTAGTCCCCTAGATAGCGTTACACGAGGAAACGCGCGTTAAGCGTTAAGGAGCGGTAAAGTTTGTGTCAAAAGAAAAAAAATATTTTTCAATTAGCCATCGCCCCCCTAAACCGCTTCAACGCCCCCCAATCTTCTCTGCGCCCACAAGGGGACGTCGCCCACTTTGAGAAAGACTAATGTAAAGGGTTAATAAATATTGTTCCTCTATAGCAGGGTTTCTCAAACATATTGTACCACATATCCCTATTAGACCTTCAAGACCACGACCCCTTTAAAAAAATGCTAACTATTGATAGACATTTGATTAAAAAATAATATAAAAGAGCAATACATACACATGTTTCGAATTAGGTAATAGAATAAATGAAATATTTTATTCAAAAAGAAATACTTACAATAGTTTGGTCTTTATCATGACCAGGTGTGAAAACCCACTCTCACATAAGTTGTCAAGAAGGACAAAAGAAACTTCACTGCTTTACCGAAAAGCTCAGGATATTCTTGATTTCTTGCTGTCCAAAAATCAATCAAAGACATATTTTTGAAATCACTTCGATTTTACGCCTAGCCGCCACCATTACGTTAATTTTATGACTCAATGGCGTACCCCCAGTGGTTCGCATACCCCACTTTGAGAAACCCTGCTCTATAGTAACAGTTGGGTTGAAGAGTTCGCAGGCTAACATAAGGAAAAAGGTTTTTTTTGATAAAATTTCATTTTATTATTCAGAATAGTTGCCTATCAATATGTTTTGGCACAATCATGTTGCTGGAATTGCAAAGGCTGCCTCTCAAAAACTGGAAATACTGTTCCGAACCAGAAAACTGTACACACCTCAGTAACTTTTGATGCTTTATAAAGCTCAGATCAGACCACCTTTGGAGTATTGTTCTCATATATGGATATCCCCCCCCTAAACATACCCTGTTTAAACTTAGCAAACCACTTCTCAACTGTTGATTTTCCCGTTGCAATGTCCAAATGATGTTTTAACAGTATTTTTGTTTGTATCAAAAGTTGCTTCATTCAAAATGTTCTATCCCACAAACTAATAATCCAACAGCTATGAAATTTGAAGGTTAGGATTAACTAAAAATCGTATGGATTCAATAATAGTAACGCCATCTGGGTGTTAGCTTACGAACTTTTCAGCCCATCTAGTATATAGAAATCCTTATGGTATTAGAAGCTATCCTGTTAAATGGGTCGAAATTTTGACCCATTTAACGGAATTTAACAAAAACTAAATAGTTACCGAACGTGGTCAATTTCTTTGTATGGCTTGGGGAGCCGCAGTCTAATCATTATTTTCATGTGGGAGGTTTTATATGATATTAACTAGTGAATTTATCAGGTCCAGATATTAGTCTGTTCGGATTAACTTCGTATAGACTATACAAGTTAATCCGAATTTTGAATATGAAAGTTTTTGAATACAATACTAGTTTCAGAGTTAAAATTTCTATGTGTATTTTTTTCAACTGGTTCCATTTCAAATGACAGAAATGACTACAAAGTTCTATCTTGTGATTTATCATTGTTATAAGATGTTATTATAAATGACTATATGTGTTGAAAACTTAATTTAAACCAAGAATGGTATGAAAAATTTGCAAAATCTTTGTGATTGAAAAAATAATAAAAAGACTTACCTTTTTGTGTCAGTTGTTTGAACAAATAAGACACTATATGATCCAAAGTGGCACAACACCCCGTACACACCATCGTATCTGAAATACATGAAATTTGCTGAATAAATTTCAGAAAAAGTCCCACACCAATATTACACAATATGAACAAATAAAGCAATTCAGTTAATAAAATCCATATTAACTTAATTATTCCAAACAATTATTCTAATTTACAGAAAGGAGAGTTGCCTTGCATGTGAATAATTATGCTATTAGTTTCAATACACAATACAATAGAATTCGTTTTGTAATAGTGGTAATACTTGATTCGAGTTGATTTTTAATCTTCTATGTAGATTATCCCAACAGTGTGGATCAACCTTTATCCCATTGAGCTCATGAAGTTGTACATATTTTTTACCTCATATTACAAATTCATATAATGTACTGTTCTGACTATCTCAACAAAAAATTATGTGATTGAGCCAATGCCTATTACTGTTCATTTGTTTAAAAGTACTCTCGCTGAACTTTATTTCTGATTCAGTCATAAACTAATTCATGCACATGTCATTTTTTGTATGTTATACATTCCAGTAATACCTTTCTGTTGTAATGTAAAAAGAATTATTCAAATATGAGCTCTTTATATAATTTTTGTAAGAAGACAACTTTTACCTTGAACTTTAATAATACATTCCGAAAGCGTTCACCTCACGTCTGAGGAACAATACGGTTAGGATCATTCTTTTTACAGTTTTCGCCTGGAAATTGTTTGAGGAAGGTCCATATGTAGAATTGGAACTTCTTGCATAAAATGAATCTAATCAGGTTAGCATCATCAGGAGAAGACTAAAACTAAATACTTAGGCTGTGCTTATATTTATATATACATCTGGATAACCCATCATATTTTGTTATTGATGCTAATGTCAATTACGGCCTGTAGAAAATACAGGAAGAAAGTAGTTATTAAGAAAGATAGTGATTTACATTAGAAACGATAACAAAATAACACAAGTGATACTAATACTATACAATACTAGAAATTATTTTAATAACCCTTATTTGGTGGCTTGTTCAGATTATATAAAAACATTAACACAGCCATAGGATTTAGTTTTATTCATTTCCTGATTATTCTAACTTGGTTAGCCAAAAGTGCGTCGAGGAACAGTATTTCTGTTTTGTTCATTACAATAATAACTGATGGAATGATGGTTTTCATCAGTACCGGATTATAATATTGCTAGGAATCGCACGTTGAAGGGTAAGACCTCTTCAACCTCATAAGGTTTGTCGTTTGTAAAGGGGTATCAGCTGGTCTTCAGAAAAAGAGATTTTAATAGATATGAAATAATTAGATTCAAATAATTCAACAGAACTGCTGAACTAACTACCATAAATCTCAGAAACTAAAAAATATTCCTAATTTTTATTCTTCACTCTAGCCATACGAAAAAATAGTGACCACATCGTTTCCATAATTTCATCTGATTGTTTATTTGTGGTGGAAGCCACAAGAAGACCTGTAGAACTGTTCTACAAAAACAGACTTGAGAATCCACCCGAGTTATTCAATCTCAAAGGTAACCGTTTTATGTTCCAATTTCATTTCATCATGTATACTTTGAAAAAATTAGAGACTTGACAAACAACTCGCCCGAACAAAAATACTGTCAATCAACGCTTGTTTCGCTGACCAAGTTACCATCATCAGGAGAAAATTAACACTGAAGAAGTGTTTTCACTATATTCATTTTACATCAGAGGCTCCAATTATACTCATCAACTTTTACTGCTATTCAAAAAAGTTTTCTGGGTGCACAGACAGACAGAAATGCAAGTGTTAATTATGGCTTCGCATTCGGTATACATACAAAACAATCTCCTATACATTCAACCCCAAGAAACATATGCATTGCTTTTGTCAAGATATAAAAACATAAATATGTTAGTAAAAACGAAATCAGTTAATATTTTTCAGGCAGATGAAATTGTTAATTGAGAAATATCCAGTTGATTTTTCATGCAAAATGATAGTGTTAGTCGCTAAATTAGGAATTTAGATTTGTGACATATATCTTATTTCTAAACCGAATATCTCTAGTGCAAATAAATTATTCAAATGTTCATTTCATACTGAAGACAAGCAAAGAAAATTCCCATTTAGTTTCAAAGTCTAGTGACACTACTCAGTACAATCAAGTTATTCAATTCAAATATCTTTTCCGAGAATTCATTTTGCCTTCAGTAATAAATCAACAGTAATAAATTAACATTAGCAGTTTCGTCGGTGACAACTATAACCGAAATTGTAACAATTTCACCTACTTGGAATGCAACGAAACATACTGTGTACAGTCAGAGACGTTTGAACAGCAGCAGACCTGAACAAAAACATCAAAAACAACAACCTCAACTAAGGAATCTACAGGTTTGAAAGACTACTTCAAAAAAAATCAATGCAGACTTATGAGAACACACGCAAACATACCATGCAGCAACAAAATACTTCAAGTCTGCATTGAAGTTTTTTCTGCATTTTCTTTATTTGCATTTGCTGTGTCCCTGTACTGTACAGACCTGTAAAATTATTTAGCTGCCCACCTAAGGCCGTTAGTCCTCCTGATATCGATGACAGGACATAAAGGAATACTTGTGGCTCTAAATTCGCCAAGAACGTCATATGATCCTGAGCTAGACACTCCAGCAAAACGTAGTACGTCTGAGATACTTTGGGATAATCCTGCATTCAAAAAAAAGCAATTAAACAACATGGAGTAGACTTTTGCTATAAATATATAATGTAAGGAACGTTTAAGGTGAATTTAGGCATGCTCGATTAGCAAGTAAATATTAACATATAGGAAGTTACAATCATAATTATACATTCAACTTCCCACTTTCCAATGGACATGTTCAGACAGAAAAATTAATAATTATCAAGCAACAAATGACTCACTAGAGTACATCTTAAATATTTCAAAACATTGTCAATTGTGTTCTAATTACATCATTTCCTTCAGTTGGCAATTTTTTTTTCTAAAATCAGTTTCATACACATACAACAACATAAAAGTTTGAAGGTTCAAGTNAGCTTAAGAGTCAAGTACTTGCATATTATTTTAATATGAGTTTTTCTTTGCAGTGACTGAATAAAAATGACGTATATACAAGGAAAGTCGAAAAAAACATAACTTGGGCAGAAATTTTGAGGTTATAACACATTTATAATGACAGGTTCTCTTGTTGTCGTTCTTGAATACCGTTAGTTTCTAATATCGTTACTAAAGTCTATTCATTACACTTTGTGACAAAACCAAGCAAAAAGATACTACCTGTTTGGTTTCACCAAGTACAAGCATGCCTATCTCTTGGGTAATTTCTTACTCTAAATCTTATCAATATTACTGAACATGTCCCCACACCTGCATAAACACATTCAGTTTCCAATTGCAACAGCATCAATGAAACTGTTGCATTATAAAAACTAACTGCAGCAGGACACGACAACATATCCGTTAAAGAAATAATATTAATTGAAAAAAAAAAGTCATTTCCATACTTGTTAATTTGATAAACGATACTTTCAAAGCGGGGGTATTTCCTGAGATACTGATGACTGGAAAAGTATTACCAATATTTAAGGGTGGTGATAACAAAAACTTAGAAAATTATAGACCTATAACAATTGTGTGCTCATTCTCTAAAATTATTGAAACTATGATAAAGACAAGAAGAATGGACTTTGTTGATCGTTATGTGGGATTTGATGAGTATCAGTATGGTTTTATCAAGGGTAGCAGCACTCTAAGCGCACAATAGATTTCATTCATAATATTACATCGGAATTGGATAAAAAAAGAATGGTTATTGCAGTGTTCATTGATTTAAGAAAGGCATTTGACGTTGCTGACCATACTGTTCTTCTGAACAAACTATGTTGCATGGGTATAAGGGACAAAACTCATTCTCTCATTGAGACATTTTTAAAGGAAAGATCCCAGTTTGTCGCTATTGGTGAGAGCATGAGCGAGTATATAAAAATTAATTGTGGCGTACCACAGGGATCCGTTTTGATTTACATTTACTGAAGAATACAGTTAATGAAGATCTCTCTAAATACTCAAATTGGTTTGCACATAATAAACTTAAGGTGAACTCTGCAAAAACCGTTTACACATTATTTAAACAAACAAAAAAAGAATTTGTGGGAATATTGAATTAAGAATAAATAACTTACCCTTAATGAATGTTGCAAAAACCAATTATTTGGGACTCATAGAAGATGATAAGTAAAACTAGTCAGGACACATAGAACATTAATGATAAAATTGTACCAATGTTAGGAGCTCTATATAGGTGTTCCAGTTACTTGAGTTTCAGTAATAGATACTTGGTTTACAATGCATATATATTGGCGAATCTTAGGTATCTGTTAATCATATGGGGTAATTGTGGCATTACTAATTTCAAAAAAATTCAAACGCTACAAAATAAATCAATAAAAAGTTTATTTCAAATTCCATTTCGAACCCACACAAATGATTTATTCTCACAGACTGAACTACACTCAATTAAATATCTACTTAAACTTGAGCAATGCAAGAACATATATAAAATAAAAAACAAAAGAATCAAAAGCAACAACGATCTACTAGTCAACAACCAGTTTTATGAGTATAATACAAGGGGTAGAAATGACTTACACCTGAGCA